TACTGCAGCAATAGCTTGCACCCCAACTTTCCGGTAGAGATGATAATAAAATTAATGCTTTCATCTCATCATCAAATATTATCTCGCACCGATGTCAACTGCGCAATAATTGCATTAAATTCACTAATATGATTAGTAACCGAGTTACCTTCACCCATTTTGAGGTTGACTAGCCTGCGAATCAAATGCACTTTATTGGCTGCAGAGGGCTTCTCATACATATTTGACAACGCTCGCATCAAATCTACGGTTGTCTTCTCGTTCATGATGTTGAACGCAACATTCTTAGCTAATGTCACCGGATCACACCAAGCGTCCGCCGATCTAACAACTCCCATTCTGATCGCTCCATGTCGGTTGGCTTCGCCCTGTCAAGGGTAGATACAACTTCTTCCGATACGGATAATCTTCCATCTCGCATCTTCCAGAACCCGAAGTCACTGCCATCGAACTTCTCGATCCTCACCTTTCCTTCTTCTAATGTCATTGCTCTCACTGCTTTCGAAGAAAGCTCCCACTGCTTCTCTAAACTGAGATTCCCAAGAAAAAAGACCAAATCTTTTCTGATGTGGAAGATCAGACAAAGCTGCAACCACAGAGCATACTAAGAAAATTGGCTCTGATACCAATTGTTAGGATCGAGCGCTTACCACTAGGCCAAAAGCTATAGCCATTAGTCAGAGCGCAACTCTTTTTACTTAAGAGTAACAGCCCAAGCGCCACGATTCGATTGTGACTCGGCCCACCCGGCCTCTACCACAGGACAATTGATGCTACCTGCAACAAAAATTGTTAGTATTATGGTGCTTGATTTAGTCCCACATCGATTAGGATTGTGAGATGAGGTTCTCTATTTTGTTATATAAGCAACCCTATGTAAAGTTTGAGATACACACAGAAATAAAAAAAATACTTCCTAGTGTAGTCGTGGACGTAGGCATACATATTTTAGCCGAACCACGTTAAAATTCTTGTGTCGTTTATTTTTCTCTCCTTTATTCTTTCCTTTATTATTGTCTTGTTCCTAACAATTGGTATCAGAGCCAAGGTCACGAGTTCGATTCCTGTTGAGCAATAGTTAAGGGGGAGATTGTTGCAGGTTGCACAATTGTCCCGTGGCGCAGGCCAGGTGGGCCAAGTCACAATCGGTGGCGTAGGCTAGATGGGCCAAGTCACAATCCAAGTGGGATTCCTCGTAGGACAATTGCTGAGGGGGAGATTGTTGCAGGTAGCATCAATTGTCCTGTGGCAGAGGCCGGGTGGGCCGAGTCACAATCGAATCGTGGCGCTTGGGCTGTTACTCTTAAGTAAAAAGAGTTGCGCTCTGACTAATGGACAATTGATGCTACCTGCAACAATCTCCCCCTCAGCAATTGTCCTACGAGGAATCCCACTTGGATTGTGACTTGGCCCATCTAGCCTACGCCACGGGACAATTGTGCAACCTGCAACAATCTCCCCCTTAACTATTGCTCAACAGGAATCGAACTCGTGACCTTGGCTCTGATACCATTTGTTAGGAACAAGACAATAATAAAGGAAAGAATAAAGGAGAGAAAAATAAACGACACAAGAATTTTAACGTGGTTCGGCTAAAATATGTATGCCTACGTCCACGACTACACTAGGAAGTATTTTTTTATTTCTGTGTGTGTCTCAAACTTTACATAGGGTTGCTTATATAACAAAATAGAGAACCTCATCTCACAATCCTAATCGATGTGGGACTAAATCAAGCACCATAATACTAACACTTGTGTCCTACTTATAATAGGGTTTCCACTTTTATGCTACGTTTGATACAATATGATTTTATTCTTTCAAATATTATTTTTACTAAAGCACGTATTGATAATTTCTTTAAAAAAAATCATGTCCTATTTTAGATTGAGAGTCATATTACCATATATTTTTTTTCTCCATGGTATGCTTGTGTCTAATTTTCAAATAAAATTTGATCTAATCAAAAATACTTTGTGAAAACAATCATCTTATCACGGTAATCAATTTAATATTTTGTCATATAATGAATTAAAAAAATAATAAAGTTCTTACTTATCATTATTATTCTCTTAAAAAAGTTTCTTGAGAAGCTATGTCTTGAAAAATAGAAGTGGATTAGGTTACATCAGGTTAAACATACAAATAATATGGTCTGTTGTAAAAGAATTTTAACACATCACTGAAGTTGGACCTAACTTATCAATCTATTTAAACCCATCTTTCACATTAAAATATTAAATATAGGCTAATAAGATAAATTTTAAATAGGCTAATCAGTCAATTTTTAAATAGGTTAACAAGATAAGATATTGAATAGATTTAATCAAAAAATATAAATTTATAATCAATTTACTTTATTAATATTTTTTTTATCTTAAATAAATTTATGATGTGAGATTTTTACTTTATGAAAATATTAAATACAAAATTATAATATTAATTTTCTTTTATTTAAATAAATAAATAAACAGGTTAACCTATTAGGCTTAATGAATTTTCACACATTATGTTTAAAGCACGAATAAATTAATAAAATATAAATTAAAAAACTATAAAATTCAGGTTAAGATATAGTTGGTATTAATATATTTGCCGGAAACCATGCTCAATTTACTTATTACAAATTTATTTTATCAACACAATTACAATAGTAATCATAATATGAGTAGATTAGTTTATTAAATTTAGATAAATTTATAACAAAAAAAAATTGTCTAGCATTAAAACTTTTTTTAGTTAGTATTTTAAAATGTTTACTTCTATAATAAATGTTTAGTCTATGAATCAATGCGGCCTCATATCTGTTATAATAATATTGTTATGGTCAATTTTCATGTCCGAGAGATTGTCCACTTTAGAAGTCTTGTCCGTTATAATTTTGTTCTTAAAATATATTTCGATAGATTAAAGGAGGAGGGCGTATATAAATTTTATTTGATCTCGACTCTTAATTAATGTATGAGATTCATGAGTGTACCAGTAACATAAACCCCTCGATCAAGGACTAAGGGATATGAGTAGAGCAAAATTTTATTCTCGACCTTATGATGAATGTCAAATATTTTTAACTCGACGAGTGTAAAATTGAACTAAAGATATTAATAAATTAGATTCTGAACTGCAATTTCAAAATAATTGAAAGTGGTTTCTTTTGAAAAAAAAAAAAAAAAACTCATCTTTAAGAGATATTCTCACTCAAGTTAACTTAAAAAAAAAAGTTAGTGTATTTGACAAACAATGATTCAAAAACATATATAAAAATTGATAATAATAATTTTATTATAACAAACATAAATTCTAAAAATGTTATGATAACAAATATAAATTTGAAATACTTTTCTTAATCATTATTTCTATATAACTTTAGTGCTAGATTCATCATTAAAATATATTTTATAAATATATTTTTTCAAACCTGAACTTAAACGTATTTTTTTCTTTAAAAAAGGTAATGTTTTAAAAAATATATAAAATATCTTGTTTATCTTAAAAAAATATGTTTTAAAATATAAACAAAGAGTCTGATAAATGAATTTTCAAATAATATTGTTAAGAAGATTGACCGACCCATTGAACTTATCTAATTGCGATTTGATTCTCATCAAATGAATTATATGATTCAGCCGTACAATTCCACTTCACAAGTTTTTGTATATTATACATAATGTTTCTCTTGGTTTCATGAATCATATAGATGATTGTGATTGAATGGGAGAAGATGTCACTTAGAGTAATCATTCTCCATGTCATTAAAGTTCGAATGCAATCAATAATTTCTTTAACCATAAGTAACTAGCTTTGAATTTTCATAAGTTACCACAATCAACATTTAAATAATAGAAAATAGAGGAAGTATTGCTCATTAACCATTCTTATTCTTATAATCAAACTGATATATTCAAAAACTAATTTATTATTTTATATTCATATAATTTTCTGTTTAATTTTCATTAAATTAATTTTATATAAAATAAATAAATAATTCGAGAACATATTCATAAGATTAAATCAAATCAATAATTTAAATTGATCCATTTTAACAGGGTTTTTTTTATCAAACTTGAACAAGATGAACCAAATTTGACAATAATAAACTCATAACATTATGTAAAAATAAAAATTTCAAGAGAGTTTAAACGAAAATAATTCTATCCATGAAATGACTAGTGTACAAATCTATGTTACGACAGTTTTATAATTTATCAAATAAAATATATGAATATTCTTTTGTAATATCTATAGTTGCAACCTGTTTTCCTTTTTCATATATACTTGCAGAAAATTCGTATTGTCTTTTATTTATGTTTTTATTACAGCTTCTATGTAGTAAAAGTCATTAGCCTTCGTAAAAAATCTTCTACCATAATTAATCACAAATATGAAATCAATTTAACATCCTTCTAAAAGCTCAAGAAATCTCAAATCTGCACAAATCAGAGAACATGAACGATACTGACATACCCTTAACCAAAAAATATTTTTCCATGAACAGATGTCAAGCATGACTCACGCACACGCCCTCATATACTCACAATTTTGGGCAAGATTGAAAATTATACCCACATTGAAATGTCACAATGAATTACCCCCAGCCAGATTAGAACTCAGAAAATTTTCCTTAAAAACGGGAAGAACTCATTGCATAAGAATTATCTAGCAATTTATAAATATATGACATGAATTGTGGTGCATGGAGACTAAACATGAGTATAACTATTTCAGATTATGTAAAAGACAAAGTAAACTAGCGTCGCACAATGTATCCGATGCTGAGGAGAACTAAAGAATAATTAGAAATTCAGCAGACAATTCTTATTGACATGAATACCGGAGGAACACAAAATCTTAAGTGTTGTGACGCCAATACTACCAAAGGAAGTTGGCACATCCCCAGCAAACACTCTTCTGAGGATGAGAAAGTAGAGTTTCACTTTGGTAACAAAAATGTCCGATGAACCTAAACTAAATAAAGGGAAACAAAAGAAAAAGTATGCCCTCTACTTTGCCTGAGGATGAGATGCAATGAAATCCACAGCAAGTTTAACAGAGTTGATCTTATCAGCCTCATTATCAGGAATCTCGAACCCAAACTCTTCCTCAAGAGCCATAACAATCTCTACTGCATCCAAACTATCCAATCCAAGGTCATTCTGGAAATGAGCATTAGGGGTAACCTGCCAAATAAAAACGCAAAGAATCTCATCAAAAATTAAGCATCACAATATAAAATCTCAAAACTAATAAAACGAATCCCAAAAAATTAGCCCAATGAAATTGTCAAAAAAGTTTCATCCATAGCATAACAGAGCCCATAAATTAGACAGTGAAAACATATCCCACTCGTCAAGATAAAACCATCAATTTTACCCAAGTACTTTCTGAAGTATTAAAAAATCCTTCAAACTGGCCTCTAAAATTTACTAAAATACACGTAATTAGGTAGTAAATATGTTTTTGAATTGCTATTTCTGAGGACCATTTCCATTTTCCTACTCACAAAATGGAGAAGTAACAACACTGGTGAGTTGGAAAAATTATATGTTAAGTACTCACATTCCTACTTGATGTATTACTTGTATAATTTTGGACTTATGTGGATACACATCTTTCCATAAACACTTCTGAACAAAAAGGTAAGGAAAAAAAAAGTTTTTTCCTATCCTAATATTAACTTGTGCACATTAAAAGTTTCAGAGAGAACTTCTATAAGGTACGCTAAGGTTAATTTATAGAAAAAGGTATTTCATTTTCTTTCTCTTAAAAAAGTGTTTATGAAAAAAAAAATGAATTGTCTGAATCATACCTTTTATAACTTTAGAGACTGTCTAAGAGAGAAAGTAAATACTTGAGGTACAAAATTTGTGCTTCATTTTAATATACGAACTAAGGTTTTACTGGCGCTGTGTTCTTTCATAATGCAAAAAACTGCATACAAAATTCGATAGATCAATTATTGACGTTGTTGAAACCAAAATCGCGACAACATTAGAAGCTACCGTTTATAAGGTTCTAAACTACCATATCTTGACATTAATCTAATTAAGCTCCTAAATTAGGATATCTTGATATTGCAGCAGACAACTGCGAGAGAGCAATGCCATCAGAACCGTTACGGTCGAGAAACACTTCAACATGATTGACATTGCAGGTAAAATGGCTATTTCGAAAAGCTTGATTGTAACTAACGTGGTGAATAGAGCGGCGCTTCATTTCTCTACGGTTCGCAGCAATTGAAAATATAACAGGATCCAGAAATTAGGCAGGAGATGAAAGTGGTAATAGATAGAAATGAAGAAGAAGAACCTTGGCGGGATCGACTTTCTGGAAGTTTTTGACGCAAGAGATGACGCGATCTGTAACCTCGGACTTGTCGAGAAAGCAGCCACGAACCTCTTCGCAGAAGCGGCGGAGGAAGAAGGTGGGAGCGAGGGTTGAATGAGAGTTGCGGGGAAGAGCGTCCACGCGCACTCTCAGGTATTTGATGAGAGGTAAAGTGCTCCTACTCGCCGCCATCGATCTGCACCAAGGAAACCAACCTAAGCCTTGCTCTCTCTACCCTCTCTTCTCGGCTTTTCGATTCTCTCTTTCTCTGTTATGTCTGATAGATGATAATAACATAGTATTCCACCCACACTGAACCCTCTCTCTAATCTTCCTTCTCGTACATTGGGCTTCTCAAATAGGCCCAACTATTCCCCGGCCCTCTTTGTCCAACCCATCCTGAATTAAAAAAAAAAAAAAAAAAAAAAATATATATATATATATATATATATATATAACAAAAACATTAACGAAAATCAACTGTTTTTTCTATGGTCATGGTCGACTTATTCGACCAAAGATTATTCCCATTAAGAATTAAACTCAATTTATTTCATTTTTCTTATTTTTCTCATCTAAAAACTCCGATAAAAGAAATTGTTTAAACGTACCTTAAATTAACTTACTCATAAATTGATTATATAAAAATTATTTTATATTAAAATATATTTTTAGTTGATATATAAATTAACTTAACTTATAACAAATTATAATATTTTTAAAAAATTTTATAAAGAAACTTTAAAATTGTAAATATTATTTTATTAAGAATTAAAATATAACAAAATGAATGTCATTTATGATATATATATATATATATATATATATATATATATATATATATATATATATATATATATATAAGTTGTGTATATTTAAAAGTTAGCATGAATACACATGTCATTTTATTAAATTTAACCTAAGTATTGTATTTAATTTGAATCTTATTTAACAGAATTGTAGAAAAGATAAATGTAATTTTTCTAATTTTTTTATCATTAACAAATAAAAGGTTTAATAATCTTCTTTGATATAATCGCCTTTTTAACTTTTAAGTGTCCAAAAAACGAATTCGAGTTCGCGTCAGAAAATCGTGTTGGCATTTCACGCCCCAGCAACGAAAACCAGAAAAAACTGCACAGCTTAAGCTTTCTTTTTGAATTGCATTGCCCTGAGCCCCATGTTGGTGATCTTCATTTGCGTCCTCCTTTTCTTCATCTTTTTGTACAGATTCCTCGTCGCTTATGGTATTTCATTTTTCTTATTCCACTACTTTCTCTCTTCATTTATCCCCTTTTTTTTTTTAATTCTAATTCTCGTTTTGATTTATTAGGCGATTTTACTTTGATGTCTAAGAAGCAACCTAAACGCGAAGAAATTGAAGATAAGGTTACGAGAATGACACACACACACTTAAGTGCTTCATTCCTCGTGTCTTAGATAAATGACTTTGTCTTTTCATGTTTCATTTCCACCCAGGTTGTTTGGATTACTGGTGCTAGCCGTGGAATTGGTAATAACAGTAACTCTGCCTTTTTAAAAGAGAAAATCAATTTTTTTCAATTTCACTCTTATATTTCTATTGGGTTGATTTCAGCATGTTAACATTGGACTTCGATCAAATCAATCTTGAATTGTAATTCACCCAGAATCACTTTGATAAGTGAAAGAATCAAAGTAATTAACCTTTGAAGATTTTAATCCACGATGGTTAATGCATTCAATTATCTATTGAACAGGTTTATTGATCTAATCATCCTGTTAGAGAAATGTTAGCAACACACTTTCTAACTCACTTTTTTTAATACGCTCTCTACTCGAAATAACAAATTTTACTAGTTCTCACTTTTCATTTAACGGGTTGATTTTGTAATTTTTAATAAATTTTAAGCTGAGCTAATAGTGAAGTGTGTGTTTGAAAATATATTATTAGCACTACTCTAATCTGCAATGCTTTACTATGCCAGTCTTTACTTATTTTATTTTATAATTTCCGGTTTTCTTTCTGCTTACATTTTTCTCTACAATCTAGAAGGACTCCTTCAAACAGCCAGAATCTTTTCCTTATTTTTAACTAATTTTGCTTGCGTTGCTGATTCTTTCTCTTTGGTTCCTCCAATGATGATATGAAGGAGAGATTTTGGCGAAACAGCTTGCAAGTTTAGGAGCCAAGCTTATAATCTCTGCGAGGAATGAAGCTGAGCTAAACCGAGTAAGGACACAACTGAAAGGTATGTTGTGTTGCTGGAAACTACTTGTGAGGTCTAAATTAGTTAGTATATTGTGTACAAATAATGATATAGTCACATATCATGCTCTATTGATATGTGGTTTGCATACCACCAGGTAGGCATGCACCTGATGAAGTCATGATTTTACCATTGGATTTATCCTCTGGAGAGGATTCTCTTAGGGTAGCTGTTGAGAAAGCAGAATCCTTTTTTCCGGATTCTGGTGTTGATTACATGATCCATAATGCAGCTTTTGAGCGTCCTGTAAGTGACTGATTGCTTTATCCAGTGGTTTGTTTAATACTTATATATGTTTGGTTGTTAGAAGCTAAACCTATTAGTGTAAAAGAGGAGGATATTGAGGTTGACTGCCATCCTTTAGTTTAGAAATACAATTTTTATAGACAACAACTCATATATACGGGTGTGTGTACCCCTGTGTGTTGTCCTATAGTTTAGAAACATTTCATCAACAGAAATCCCTACTTAAAAGGTGATACTTTTTATAGGTCAGCATCCGTTTCAGGATACTTGTAGCAACTATCTATATTAACTGAACACCAGCACGTAGAAAATTCCATTGGATGATGCTAACTTATCATTTCATGCCAGTATCGTATAGTGATGATGCTTTTTTGAGAGTTGATGAAATTTCTCTTCACCTAATTGTTTTAATGATTATTTATCGATTATATCCTCATTGGATTAATGGTATTATGAATTGATTATTTTGTTGTGCAGAAAACATCAATTTTAGATGTAACTGAGGGAGGTCTTAAGGTATATCATAAAGTATCCTCTAACTCCTGCTGTTTAATTACCAATGCTTTGCTGTAAAAATTGTTTTTACCCCTTTTTTAGTCTTCTTTCAAAACATTAAAAGTAGTCATCTGAAGTTTTATATTACTTATTTCTCCTGATTAGGCTACATTTGAAGTCAATGTTTTTGGGACAATAACTCTTACAAAGCTCTTGGCACCTTTCATGTTGAAGAGGGGACATGGTCATTTTGTGGTGGTATGCAGGAATTCATAATAGTATCTTATTTTGGTTATGAATTTGAATGACAATAAGTGTGTGTTAGTTAATCCATGGATTTCTAACATAAATGTTTGGATGCTTTGGAAAGTGCGCTAACTGCACACCAAACATACTCTTTTAAGTGGTTGGAAACTACAGCAGCTGGAGCTTGCAGATGTTTGTGATCGCATTCATCTATTAACCAAGTGCAACTAAAAGAAGATAGTAGTCACTAGTCAACAATTTTGTTACACATTACCGTTGAACGGACAATCATAATTTAAATGTTTGGTAAACATATATTGGCATTTTAGGTTTCTGCATTAATTGCTGACTATGCTAACAACAACTAATACACGTAATTCTGGAGAACTTATTTACTATTGTTTTTAACCCCTTTCCCATTCATAAACTGATAATCTTTTGTTACTTTCAATTACTCGCAGATGAGTAGTGCAGCAGGAAAGACACCTGCCCCGGGTCAGGCTTTATACTCTGCTTCTAAATATGCGCTCAATGGTTACTTCCATACCTTGCGTTCAGAGGTATGTAGACTGTGTATATTATTTAGGAAGTGGTGGAATTTACAATGATAAACCATACTATAAGTGCATAACTCGAAGATAAATGCATTAATTTTTTTCCAATGAGACGAGAAAATGGATTTTGTTTTATTCTAGATATCATACAATACATAGTCATGAACTGCTAATTATTTAATGGTGACAGCTCTGTCAGAAAGGAATTCGGGTAACTGTGGTCTGTCCTGGTCCAATAGAAACATCAAATAACGCTGGATCGAAGGTTCCATCTGAGGTTTGTATATTTGCTAATTCATCATCTATTATTACCGCAAAGAAAGACAAAACTTGAGTAAATTTTTTTTTTTTTTACTTTCTTCCCACCGTAATACATGGTACATGTATCTTTAGAGACTTCTAATACTTAGACTGATAAATCAAGATACATTATCATTTTCTGGGTTGAGATTGGTATCAATTCTTATGTGGGTTGACCTCATGTTTCATTGGTGTGTTTCTCTCCTGTGAATCCTCCCTCGAAAGATCCAACAAGTGATATTAGAGTCGAAGGTTGATCGGCAGTGGATTAGAGTGGTCTTTGTATCAAAAGTCTTCTTGACAAAATGGGTTAGATAAGTGTGTTCCGTTAGAGTGAATGGAGGTACATAGAAGAACTACTAGTGAGCTCAAAGGAATGTACTAATATGGAGGAATTCACACTTGAAGGGGAGATTGTTAGGAAATACAAGTGAGTCTAAGTCTCACATTATGTAAGAATAAGAAAGTTGAGTAACATATAAAAAAAAAGACTCATAACCTAATGCCTTAAGATTTTGGGTTGAGAGTGGTGTCATTATTGTGTTTCTCTCCTGTGAATTCCCCCTCCAAAGACCCAACAAATGGTATCAGAGTCAAAGGTTGATAGACAGTGAATCAAAATGGTCTTTGTATCAAAAGTCATCAGTCATCCTAACAGAGTGGGTCAGGTAAACGTGTCGTTAAAGTGAACGACGGTACATAAAAGAGTTACCAGTGAGCTCGAGGAAATGTACCAATATGGAGGAATGCACTTGAAGGGGTCACCAGTGAGCTCGAGGAGTGTGATTTTAAGTCCCACATTGAGCAAAAATGAGAAAGTTGAACAACATATAAAAAAGTATGACCCATAACCCAATGCCTTAAAGTTTTAGGTTGAGAGTAGTGTCAATTCTTATATGGATTGGACTTATATCTCATTGGTGTATTTTTCCCCTATGAATCCCCTTCAAAAGGACCCCGAACAAAATATGGTTTGCTGATCTCATGTTTGATGTTTGCTATGTGAACAAATATTTAATATTATTTTGAAAAGCAAATGTGATATATTGCTTTTGGAACTAAGAATATGTAAAAAATATTTAATATTATTTTGAAAAGCAAATGTGATATATTGCTTCTGGAGCTAAGAATATGTAAAAATATTTAATATTATTTTGAAAAGCAAATGTGATATATTGCAAAGAAGCAGCATAAAGCAAGATCTTGGAGTATACAGTATACTCTCCCTTTGTGTTTTGATTGTTGCTATTGTCCCCTTGAACATGCCATGTGGTGTTTCTCAACAGAAGCGTGTGTCAGCTGAAAGGTGCGCTGAGCTGACTATCATTGCTGCGACCCATGGCTTAAAGGAAGCTTGGATATCATATCAGGTAAAAGCATTCATATTAGAAAATTCCTTCTGTTTAAATAAGTCGCCAATTTGCAAAGTTTGTGCCTCCAAAGATTCTCTGTATTTCGTACAATGTATCTGCCCCCCCGTTATATATGACCTGCCATTCACGTCACTTAATTTGCCTCTTAGACAACTGAATCTCCAATTTTTGTTGAAATAAAGCGTCAGCGTTTAAATGTATCATTAAATGCGTCACTATGATGGTGTGTTAAGGTTCATTTCATGCAACTGCCTGCCCCTATAATTATGTAATTGGCGTGAGTATTTGTTCATGCTTTACTTAATGGAACCCAAAGTGTTCTTGTTCACTCGACCCAGAAGATTGGATGCTTTCATCAGTTTGAAATTTTGTTGCATCTAAGCATTTGGCTTTTCACGATAGATAGGCTAATTGATGCTTTTAATTAGCATGAATTTTAATTTCCAGATTGCAACTTTTATCCTTAAATCTTTTTCGTGCAGCCTGTGCTTGCTGTCATGTATCTCGTTCAGTACATGCCAGTTGTTGGTTATTGGCTCATGGACAAGGTATTTTCTAATTCTATCGCAAGCATTGTCACTATTTTACGACTATTTTGTTTTTTTCTTATGTGCTACTGGACATCGATCACAATGAACACATATTGATGCCTTGTACAAATGACTGTAGGTTGGCAAAAATCGAGTAGAAGCTGCCGAACAAAAGGGAAACACATATTCTTTGAGCTTACTGCTTGGAAAAAAGAAGGCCCCTTGATACCCATCTGTGCATGTGTTTCAAAGATTTGTATCAAATATATTTTTCTTAAAAGGTTCTCTATCAAAATGTATTACACCTTTTCTGACAATTGACAGAATGGTTATATGTTATTCCTAATTGAACAATGAAGGTTTAAAAATTTTAAATGGGCAACCCATGTGTGACAATACTCCACATTACTTCTAAAATACAACCATTTTTTTGAAGCCTAAAATACAGAACAATTAATCTGTTAATAAATTAGTATTTTTAAAGGAAAGAATGAAACCTACAAAATTACTTTTGTAGTTCTTCAAACTGTAGCAGACGGAACAAAATTATTTTTTACAGAAAATATTTTCTCTCTAGAGGAGATATTCATTTATTTAATATCAGATCATTTATATCAATCATATCTATTATAATAAGATATTCAGTAATTTCTTTTGATTATAACTCTATTTTATCTTATCTGAATATTGGTATTTTTTTATGGATTGTTATTGCAAGTATTATTCTGATTGAACCTCTTATATTAAGATATGGATTAAATAATAAATATTCTTTTTTAGATGGTCTACCATTTTATATCTTTATGTAAGCTTTATTGAGACAATTAAAAATAGAGCTGCAGAAGAAGCCATTGAAGAATGCACTAAAGTCTAATACTTCGCGTTCCTAAGTTGCATTATTTATCCATTATATACAACACCCAGTTAAGATAACATTAATAATTAATGAGGTAAAAAAAATCATTTATCAAAGGAAAAGACTCGCAAAACAACATATTGTCTACACTTAATTTTGCATTGGAATTGTATAGAAAGAGCAACTACTACAACAATCAAACCGTAATCCATGTCTACAAAGGGTTATTTAGTTAACCGCACCTGTAGACAGTGACAGATTGAACTTGTATTTGAGGTAAGATTTGATGAAGGGGTCCAACTCACCATCCATTACAGAGTTGACATCTGTCGTTTCATACCCTGTTCTTACATCTTTAACTAGTTTGTATGGATGGAATACATAGTTCCGTATTTGTTGCCCCCATTCAGCCTTGACTGCGTCCCCTCGAATCTGCTTAATTTCTGATGCGCGTTGCTCTTCAGCTATAACCAACAACTTGGCTTTCAAACGGCTCAAAGCTCTGATCTTATTCGCCAGTTGTGATCTCTCCTCTGCACAATGCTTGTTTAAAGTTAAAACTTGCAATTAAAAAGATATGTTTGAATTGGATGCGGACTAGAAATGGCACAAGTGACCCGCAAAATTTGGTAAAAGCAATAGTAGTCACGGATCCATATATAAGTGAACCTAGAGATACAAAGACCACGCCAAATATCAACCTGAAACCATCTTTACCAAAAATCCAAATACACTGCACATATTTTAATCAGCTAGATGTGTGCAAATGTGCAATGCACAAAATAAATGTTGTTGATAAAATGTTTTAACACATAAATCAAGTAAATCAAAACAGAAATTTTAGAAAGTGATAGGGACATGACCATGAACAAAGACAATAATCCACTTGAAGGACTTGGAGGACATATGACAAAAGCTAAAGCAAGGAAAACAAAAGAAGTTCTTCAACAAGTGTTATCTATATTATTTGAATATAAACCCACATTTCAAGGTGAAAAGCCAAATGGAGGAAGATTAATGTGTCACTTTGTTTAAGTCTTTCAGTTTATTTAAATAATTACCCAATCCTTTGTAAAATTGGCTATAAATTAATGGACTTTAGTTTGGTTTTGTTTCAAGTTGTAATAAGGGCATAATTGAAAACTTAGGCATCAGTATATAGAAGACCAAGAGATTGACTTTTAGTTGCCACAATTTCAATTACAATCAGTCATTAAGTAGTTTTCAATTCCTAGTTTAATGGATCATTATTAGTATTTATTTGTCTCCATAAGTAGTTTTCAATTCCTAGGATTATTATATAAGTAATTTTATTCAGAGATATTAGAGTTTAGCTTTTTTATCTTGGTGAGAGTGTTTCTCATAAGTTCTTGAGTGATTAAAAAACCCTTGGCTGTATCAAAGGACTTTCACATCCTTTGTGAGTTGTCTTCCTTGGGAAGAATGATTTTTTCCTTTGACCTTTCACATTTACCTCTTGTCATTTCTTCACCGAAACCCAGAAAACTCAATTCTTCCCAGATTTATTTTGTGGTCATAACTTTCGTTCTACTCGTCCAAATTGAATGTTTTTTTAGTCTAAATTGAAATTCAGAACGAGAACTTTCACTTCGTTTTTTACTCACCTCAATCGAAGTTTTTATAGCTTTCAAAAATACTGCGTAACCTTGAAACTTTCACCACTTTCTAATCTACCTTCTTACTAATTTTCTAAATTTCCTACAAGGTTCTAACCCTAAAGATCCTAAGTTAAGCCTTGTACAAATGAGGTTCATGTCAAAAAGTCACCTCAAACAGTTTCAAGTTTGATTTTCAAATAATATACATGATCCAAACAAAGAGGGTTTTAGTGAATAGATTCCTGGACATTGCCCGGAGCACGTTGTGCTTACCAATTAGTTTCCTAATGAGTTACTTCTAGGCTCAAGTCATACTGAAAGGGTTAGAGTGGGGATAAAAAATCCCAAATGAGGAGGAACACTCAAGGCATATGTTTGAAACTTTTATCTATTGAAGTTTATTTGACACTAAATTCTTTTTTAATTATAGTGTTTCCAAATATGAGCTATCATTATCTTAAAATGTATGATATGTTTAAAACTATGTGCACCAACCTGCATATTGCCCAGTGCAACATGAAAGTGTACTTCATCTTAACGTTATGTGTTTTATTTGATGCTTCAGCCATAATGAAAAAAGGGGTAGAAAGAAAACGCAGCAGAGCTCTTCAATGGAAGAGCTCTGATACCATAATAAAATTCATAAAAGGAAAGACGATATGTAAACATAAAGAAGCAAACGGTAGTAATTGAATGATCAACAACTGCATTTTTCTGTCTTTCTTATTATTGAAGTATGGTGGAATATATACAGAGAGAAGGAAAGGGGAAGATATTACAAAGAAAAAGACGTAAAACACATAACGTTAAGACTTCAGAATGGTAATAAGTCTAGAAAAATACACTAGTGGAATTAAATAATTCCCAAAGGAGAGGAACAAACCTGTGCAGCGAACAGTGACACCAGTTGGAATGTGTGTAATCCGAACTGCAGTTTCAACCTTGTTCACATTCTGACCACCCTTTCCACCTGCTCTTGAAAAACTAATTTCTAGGTCCTCCTCAGGAATTTCAACATCCATAGATTCCTCCGGAAGAAGAGGCATGACCTCAACACCAGAAAAGCTTGTCTGTTTATAGATATTCAAGAAAAGAACAGATTATGAATATGATAATTAAAGTTTAAAACAATATTAACGGTTCATCAAATATCTAATAGTTTATCTGTACAAAATGACTAAGCAAGTTTATTTATTAATTTATTTTTATTTGTGGGGCAAGGAAGGGATGAATGGAAATTACAATAGCATCATTGCTATTCACAAACATAGTATTTCAGTCTAGTTTTTGGGGCCTGATCTCAATATCTGACATTCAGCTACCAAAATGTTGGTTATTACCTGACGAAGGCCTTTGGCATTAAAAGGTGATTGACGAACAATGCGATGCGTTCCTTTCTCCCCAGACAAATACCCATATGCATAACGACCTTCAACTTCAACAGTAGCAGATTTAATACCAGCTTCTTCTCCGGGGGACTTCTCAATCACTCTGGTCTTGTATCTCTGTTTCTCACCCCATCTCATGTACATCCTAAGAAGCATGTCTGCCCAATCCTGTTCTGGAGATGATAATTGTTTAACAGAAGTTAAAGCTGAATATGCATAATCACCGTTAAGTACTCAAATTTCAAAAATATGATACAAACAGACAAAGGAATTCAAAAGATGGATAAGTTGGTTGCATAATCTCACATTAGACAGGGCAAATACCCTGTATTGTGGCATGGAAATAAAATCAGTAAAACAGGCCCCACATATGATTACTTTTTCTAAATGGTGGAATCTTAAAATCCTAAACAAACCCACACCCCTTATGTTAGGAGAACGCTTGCCCGGATTGATTGTTATGACTGTTATTTAACAATACTTGGTAGTAGAGATCAATAAATATTTCTAAAAGCCAGAAAAGGTTAAATATGTTGAGACATGTAGGTAGTATTCTAAAGTCGTAAGTCATAACTGCAGGACAAGGAAAGAGATAAATGTAGTTTTTCTTGGCATTCAATTTCTGGCCTTCTACCATTACAATATATCAGACGAAAATGTTTTCACCACCAAGGACTAGGAATGTCATAAACAAGTTCATTACTATAGCATCTGTACATAGATAGCTATTTTACCTGGGCATCAGTACCACCAGCGCCTGCTGTAATAGAGATAACAGCACCTTCTTTATCATAAGGACCAGAGAGAAGTTGAGTCAGCTCATATCGATCTAGTGATTTATTCAGTTCTTTAATAAGATTGGCAGCCTCCTCAAAAAGCCCTCTATCAATGGATTCCATTTCCTCAGTCAGCTTAACTATTGTTTCTGCATCCTCAACCTACATTCATTGCGATGAAGTTCAATATTGGAACATTGCTTAATTTGCATAAGATAAGTGGTAAACTCAACTCAACAACAACAAGTGATCAATGAGCCCTTCAAGTGATAAAGAAGATTTGTGCATTACTTTCAAAAATAGATCAATCCTTTTCCTTTTAAAATAGATGAGACACCCAAAATAGAGGTACAAAAACAACATTTAAATATGTTTAAAGTATGACAATACTTGTTTTTATAATCGTACAAGTAAATTCATTTTAATTAGTAATGTAAAAATAATTTTAGAGAAAAGCATGGTGTTTTAATTGTTAGGGAAAAAAATATCAAACTCAATAACACTGCACTTTTATTTGTACATATAAAACTGCACTTATGGTAGTTGAAACAATACTGTGTGCTGGATTTCAATTTTACAATTTTACA